AAAACTATATGAAAGGCCTCCCTGTGGGGCACCGCTGCCGCCCCACCATCACCAGAAAAACCGATGAGGCCGCAAAAATGGCCGGCAACCCTCACTAAACATAGGTGAGGGCCTGCGATCGTCGGGGCCCTACCGACCCTTTCCGGCGATGGGGTGGCGGCCCACAGGGCCCTCCCACCTAAGGGTTTTTATCATTTTTATCTTTTTAATCTAATTTCACCTAGATTTGGGTTAAAAATTTTGAATTTAGATCGAAATGATGTTGTTTTAGTCTTATGGTTAATGCATTAGTAACATTAACGCCCCGAAGGAGAGTGGAAAATAAACCACATTAGCATTTTCCGTTAGTTAGGTTAGACAAAGTTAACGGAAGGACTTGATTGCATTAATTTGACAAATTTTAGAACTTGATTGCACTTTTTGAAAAGTTTAGGACGCAATAACACTTTCTTAATAAGTTTTAGGATTTCTAGTGGATTTGTCCCTTTTAATTTTTGTTTAGTATTAAACAATCCTTATAAGCTACTCCATCAATTGTTTTTTCTCCAAAAGTTCATGTAGTATTACTTAAACTCACCAACTTGGAGGATAGTTAAAGGTATGATAGAATATTAATAAGGGATTATGACATAAATGGTCCCTAAACCTTGGCCCAATGTGCAATTTAGTCCCTGAAGTTTTAATTTGTTCAATGCAGTCCTTGAACTTTAGCCTAATATTCAATGTGGTCCCTGCACTTTTAATTTATTCAATGTGATCCCTGGACTTTTGGTACTTGTTCAATTTAGTTACTGAATTATATGAAAATGTTCAATATAATCCTTCAAATATTTTAAGTTTAAGGACTACATTGAACATTTTCATATAGTTCAAGGACTAAATTGAATATGTACCAAAAGTCCAGGGACCACATTGAACATTATACTAAAGTTCAAAGACTATATTTGACAAATTAAAAGTTCAGGGATCAAATTGTACATTAGGCCAAAAGCTCAGGAACTGTTTGTATCATTTTCCCTGCTAATAATAGCAAAAATGTCCCAAGTAACTATTATAAATATTACCATTATCTTTTTATAATAAAGTGATCCTCAATAATACATGTGTACTTCATTATGTGATTTTTTTTCATAAGGGAAGAAGGGGGGACCAATGCATCAAACCACTATTCGCGTTTACTATACAAGCATGTCATTGCATTTTGTTCTACTAGCATGCTAGAAATCAGAATGTCTCGGGCACAAGCCAGTTAGGGATTCATTCACGACATCTCTCGAACTTATGACCTCATGGAAAGACAGTGTAACCTTTTATCACTAAATGACCACGCTTGGTGATACCGACTGATGTGAATTGCACCATTATGTAGCTAGGTTTTATTTTGGAGGTGTAACCTTTGTAATTCACCATCAAACAGTACATATGCTTCCAAGGTAGGTTTTTTTGTTCATAATTTACTCATATTTTAGTGTTTGTGTAAGTTCACTCATGCGGTTCCTTCCAATTTTTTTTAAAAAAATTTTAACGACATCAAAGAACTTACAAAATTGAAAAAGTATCTTAAATGTCGACATATAGGTTTTTTTAATAAAAAAAATACAGATATTTAGTGACAAATAAAAGTATAATGACGTTTGATTTTAAAAAAAAAATTGAGTTGATTTTCACTATATAAAGATAACATAAAATGTAACACCTCATACAAAATAATATAATAAAAAATAATAAATGAAAAGATGTTTACATCACTCTTTTATTGTTAGCATTTCAGTCGAATCTACTTGTGATTGACATTTTCATAATTTTTCTCCTTTTGTGCTATTTTGAGTAATTATTTTCTTTTTCTTTTTTTTTGAGTAATTAGTTTCTTTCATAGCCACGTGGACTAATAAAGAACGTGACCTTGTAATAAAGGTCAGAATGGTGGCCACGCCACCCTCTGACTTCATATGGCAATCAATTGCTTTGATGTAGAAGAGTTATGGTAACCAGCAAAAAATAGAGTAATAAAGCAATGAAATGATAACTCACTTTATAGCCGTGGTCGTATGGGAAAATGAAGATCTGCCACATCTAACTTGTGATAAAAGTGCCCAACCTTCTTGCTCTCAACTTGGGCTAAAGTCAGATAGCATTTGCACATTCTCCTTCATGCAGGTTTATTAGAACGGACTTTGTGTCTCCTTAGGTACCGCATGATAACCATTCTGGTTCTGTCCAGAACTGGTTTTTTGTTCCCAGAATCAGTTTTGGACCAGAAACCCGTTTGTTAACGCAATTTCATTTTTCTATTTCTGGGACAAGTTTTTGTTCCAGAACCGATTCTGAACCAGAAATCAGAACAAAAAAAAAGTTAATTTTCTATTTCTAGACCAAAAATGAGAATCATTTCTGAGAGAACTTTTTCTTCAAAACACATGTTCATCTGGAAGTCACGATCTTTGAGGTGGGAAAAAAAAGTAAAAAATCAAAAATTTCAAAACTTTACATAATGGTTTAAAATCTGTGGCTACCCACTTTGAGCGAAATTTAAATTTTTTTAGGTGCCGAAAATAAAAAAAAAAAATAAAAAATAAAAAATTTCACAAAATGGCTTAGAATACCTATGGCCACCCACTTTGAGCGAAATTTAATTTTTTTTAGATGCCAAAAAAAATAAAAAAATAATCAAAAAATCTAAAATTTAAAAACTTCACAGAATGTCTTAGAATACATGTGGCCACCCAATTTGAGCGAAATTTAATTTTTTTTAGATGCCGAGAAAAATTAAAAAAAGCAAAAAATAAAAAATTTCAAAACTTCACAGAATGGCTTAGAATACCTGTGGCTATCCACTTTTAGCGAAATTTAAATTTTTTTATGTGTCGAAAAATAAAAATAAAAAAATTTCTAAACTTTACAGAATGGCTTAGAATACCTGTGGCCACTCACTTGGAGCGAAATTTAATTTTTTTTAGATGCCAAAAAAATAAAAATAAGCAAAAAAGCAAAAATTTCAAAACTTCACAAAATGGCTTAAAATACCTGTGGCCACCCACTTAGAGCGAAATTTTATTTTTTTAGGTGCCTAAAAAAATAAAAATAAAAAGCAAAAAATTAAAATTTTAAAACTTCACATAATGGCTTAGAATACATGTGGCCATCCACTTTGAGCAAAATTTAAATTTGTTTAGGTGCTGAAAAAAATAAAAATATAAAAAATTTCAAAACTTCATAGAATTGCTTAGAATACCTATGGCCACCCACTTTGAGCGAAATTTAATTTTTTTAGGTGCCGAAAAAAATAAAAATAAGCAAAAAAGAAAAAATTTCAAAACTTCACAGTATGGCTTAGAATACCTGTGGCCATCAACTTTGAATGAAATTTTATTTCTTTAGGTGCCGAAAAAAAGAAAAAATCAAAAATTTCAAAACTTCACAGAATGGCTTTGAATACATGTGGCCATCCACTTTGAGTGAAATTTAATTTTTTTTAGGTGCTGAAAAAAATTAAAAATAAAAAATACCATTTGGGCACCTAAAAAAATTAAATTGCACTCAAAGTGGGTGGTTAGAGACATTCTAAGTCATTCTGTGAAGTTTTAAAATTTTTGATTTTTTTATGTTTTTATTTTTTTTTCGGCACCTAAAAAAATTTAAATTTCACTCAAAGTGGGTGGCCACATGTATTCTAAACTATTCTGTGAATTTTTGAAATTTTTGAAATTTTTGATTTTTTGATTTTTTTTGGGCACTTAAAAAAATTTAAGTTTCACTAAAAGTGGGTGGCCACAGGTATTTTAAGTCATTCTATGAAGTTTTGAAATTTTTGATTTTTTGATTTTTTTTGAAAAAATTCAACAAATTTCCTATTTTCTAGAAAAATCTGAATTTTTTTATTTTTTGGAAATTGTGATGAATTTTTCTAGAATTTTTCAATTTTTTTGGATTTTTTGAATTTTTTTGAGATTTTTAGGAATTTTTTGGATTTTCTAATTATTTTTATTCCATTTTTTAAAAAAATGGATTTTTGTTCTTGGAAATAGAATTTTGTGTTGTTTATCAAACGGATTTTTGTTTTAGGAAATAGAAATTTTGTGCTGTTATCAAACGGGTTTCTGTTTCAGAAATAGAAATTTTTGATCGTTATCAAACGGGTTTTTTTTTATCAAAAACTCATCCTGGAATCAGAAATAGAAAAATCTATTTCTATTTCAGGAACTCATTCCGGAACAGAATGGTTATCATTCGCTACCTTAATGTAAATCGAAATGAGGGGAGGTTCATACAATTTGTCTTCGATCATAACTCGTCCTAACTACAAACATGTTATTGTAATTCTATATAAAATGTCCAAATATTTAAACTATCAAAAAGTATTACGTTACGTGTCAATGGCTACAAATCTCGTGCGGAACAGTTTGTCTAGAGATTATATAAATATTAATCTAAAAAAGAACAAGCCAACACATATTTGTTAGGGTAATCTGAAGGGTAGCGATGAAAATCAGAAACAAATAGATGACGATTTTCACAGATAAACATGTAATCCAAAATTCAATCGGGATTCCGTCTCCGAAACATAATGCTCATGCTCTACTATTCTTTTGCTAGTCTGTTTACAAAGAAAAGAAGAACCAGTTTGAACTCACTTTGATGGCCGTAGAGTATAAAACAATGAAAAAGAGAGAGATCACGTGTCCTTTGAAGGAGCATTACCCTTCGCCAAAACAAAAGAAAAATGACTAGATGAATGGAGAGTTTATACTTCGCAGGTGCTAAAAGAGCTAAAAACACACTATTATGGGGCAAAGCAATATATGTAGATGAATAAACTGAAGTCCTAGATCGCGTTGATTCTGGTCTCCTCATTCTGAAAGATAGCTCTTAACCTTTCTTCGGCAAAATGTAAATGATAAAGATATCCCTCTTCGGCTATAAAAGGGAAGACCCGGTTTCCTTTCTCGAGTCCACAACACACGCAGTCACACACGCTCTCTCTCTCTCTCTCTCTCTCTCTCTCTCTCTCTCTCTCTCTCTCTCTCTCTCTCTCTCTCACTGCTGGCTTTTTATATTTTTTTTTTGCTATGATCAGACCAACAAAAACCATCTGGTTCAGCGTCTGAACAAGGTAAACTACATCCCCACAAGGTATAAAAAAAAAATAAGTCAAGAAGAATCACAAAACCCACAGATCTTCACTCCTCCCCTCAATTTACTTTGCATTTCCTGGGCATTTTCTTTTCTTTCTTTGTTTGTGGGTGTGTTGTGCTCATGGATCTGAACTGGTTTCCTGCTTTTCTAGGGTTTTCTGGGCATTTAATCTCGCAGAGCTTTCACCATGTGAGTCAATACCTTTGTGTTGCTCTCGCGATATCAATTTGTAGGCCTCATCGCGTCTCACACTAGGTGAAATACTGCTAGTTTGTTGACCTGGGTCTCGTCTGATTTCTTCTTCTTCTTCTTCTTCTTCTTCTTCTTCTTCTTTTGCCTTATTGAATACATAGAAAGAATTTGAGAAGAGATTCAATGAAGATGGCGAGAGAGAAAATAAAGATAAAGAAGATAGACAACTTGACGGCAAGGCAGGTGACATTCTCGAAGAGGAGGAGAGGGCTGATCAAGAAGGCTGAGGAGCTCTCCGTTCTGTGTGACGCTGATGTGTCCCTCATCATCTTCTCATCCACTGGCAAGCTCTATGATTTCTCCAGCTCCAGGTACTCAAAAATTAGTTCTTAAGTCTCTAGTCCTTCATCATCGTATTATATGCATCCCTTTGGTGTGTGTGCGGTGTAATTAGAGAGAGAGAGAGAGAGAGAGAGAGAGAGAGAGAGAGAGAGGGAGGGAGGGAGGGAGGGAGGGAGGGAGGGAGGGAGGGAGGGAGGGGAGTGCATATTTGGGTACTTTGATTGTCTCTTGAGAGATCAATATGTATTGGTCATGATCCGTCGTAAGAACGCATATTTTGTTGCAATTCCCACACAAAGGTACGATGTATAGAAATTTAAATGTATGTGGATCGAAAGTTGAGATCTATTATCTTACAACGGGACGGTGATCAAAACCAAAAGAACTGCAAGAGAGAAAAGCACCAGCATATTTCAGATTCAGGACTGATAAAAGGAGTTAGGAAGAGAGAGAGAGAGAGTCTAAGAGATTTCCGTCTTACTCATGAAATGACAGCAATAAGTAATGGCTTACAATGAGAGAGAGAGAGAGAGAGAGAGAGAGAGAGAGAGAGAGAGAGAGAGAGAGAGAGAGAGAGACCTCCAATTTTAGAACTAGGATGGGGAACTTCGAGAATCTGCAAAGATATCTACAACAGTTTGATGCTGCGGTCTCTTTCTCTTGTGCTGAACACTTGAGGCAGAATCTTTGTTTTTACTCCTTCGAGCTTTGTTTAGGGTAAGTTTACAAACACTTACATGTGCAAACATATACTATACCAAAAGCAAAGTGCACTTGACCAAGATTCTACAATCCTCTTTCAGCACTTTTACAAACTTGTACTGTACCTTTACAAACATGTACTCTACTACAAGCAAGATATACTATACTATACTATACCCCTCGGTACTTGGTATAGACTTTATCAAACATGCACTATACTCAAGTTTCATATCTCACCTCTCGAGCTATATTTCGACATCCACCGCAATGGGCTAGTTAGGCTTGGCCTAACCCTCTTATGTTTATTGAGGCAATCTATCAAATATACAAATACAAAACCTAACCCAAGGATACCATCGATATATATCCTTTTTCTTTTTCGCCAACCTTAAAAAATTATACATGTACATAAATTTGAATATGCCGAAGTTTCATCAACACACATCTCGATATTGGTCACTGCACTTAGAATCTTTTCTTTTTTCAATTAGGTTAATGAGCTCCAGGTTCATTGTTATCATATTTGTGACTCATCCACTGATTCTTTAGTATCGGTTGGTTCGGACCTTCACTTAGTTTCACCCAAGCATTCGTTCTTGTTATGGATAGATCACACAAGTTTGGGTTCATAAGCAATGAGAATTGCCCTATGAAGACTTTTTACTTGACGTTCACCTGAGGTCACTCAACTTATTGTAGACTTCACAAGTGGTCAGCCAACTTTAGGCAACATCATCTTCTATGTTTGATATTGGGTTGGTAGTTGGTTGATCCTCAAGCCGAATAAATTCATTGAACACGAAATCAAAATTTACCGGCTTAGTGGTCAAAAACGAAAAGTTTAGTGGCTTGATTGAAATAGGCGAAAATCTTGCGTCGTATAACAGATACGTAAGTAAGATGTTGAGTTCTGTATATACTTTGAGTAGCATTTTCACTTTCTAAATCTTCCTTCGTTTTTTTCTTTTTGGTTCTTTTTCTGTGAAGTACGGAGGATACACTAACGAGGTATTATGCTCTCCACTCCAATAAAGTTGAGAAACCGGTCCAACCATTTCTTGCACTCGAGGTGAATCACTTGCTTAGATATGCCTTTCATGTTTTCTTAAACTTGTGCCTTATGTTCGTGAAACGAGACACATATTCTCCCGAGGAAATCATTCTATTACACCAACAAATTCCTCTTCGAATGCGCAGGCCTTGCATTCTTTTACCGTGAAGTAAAATACGGACATGCGAAACTCTGATATAAATGAATTAGAATGATTTTCATATGGAGGATTTAACCTTTTCTCATGCTTTTTTTTTTGTCTTAGATAGGGAACACCAATCTCGAAATGTTGCGCAAGGAAGTGTATGATAAGGCTCATAAACTGAGGTGCGTGCCTATGTTTTCCGTGCTTGTTTGAGTAAAAAATATGTTTTCTTTTTCTCGTACCTCCTTGTGGCGGATCAATTACATTTACTTCCCATTTCTTTTACAGGCAGATGAAGGGAGAGGATCTGGAGGGGTTAAACATGGAGGAATTGGGGCAATTAGAGAAGAAACTCGAGGCAGGACTGAGCCTCGTGATCAAGGCTGAGGTCTCTCCTTTAAATATTTTTCATTTGGGTTTTCATAAGAACCAACAAAAGGGTCCCTCACGTGTGTTCTTTTTGTTTCACTCTTTTGTCTCTCCCCATCTTGGTCGCTCCTCTCTTTCCAGGAAGAGCGAGCGTGGAACGAGATCAACGAACTGCAGAGAAAGGTTCGTGCACACTAACTAAACCTCTGTGTGCATCTTTCATTATAAACAGTACGCGATTAGGTCGACCGTCCAAAAAACAATTTCATATGCTGCGAACACTGCATAACATTAAAGTACTTATTCAAGTGGCACCGCACGAGAAGATTTAAGGTTTATTGAAGGTCATCATGAATACAAAGACTGTATTCTGTTGATTTGAAGATTATTTCTTTCTGAAATTGCAGAAAGCACAGTTGATTAAAGAGAACCAGCAACTGAAACAGAAAGTAAGATTACTTCCTGATAATTGATATTAATAGTCACCAATATATGTCCATGCACTTTCTCTTTTTTTTAAAGAATTGTTAACGTCGAAAGTTGGTCATTTGATTTCGATAAATCGCAGATGAAGATGACTTTACATCAAGGGAAATTGGTGACCGTGAACTCGGAGTTGGTTAACAACGTTTCCATCGGCAGCAATAGCATTCCTTCTCTGGATGATGATAGCCCTAATCCCTCAACTTAGGGTGAACAAACAAGTAGAACTGATTTACTAAAGGTATATGTAACACATTTTGATACCCTTTATTTTGTTCTTCTGGTAATTGAATTTATGTTTGCCTTCGGATGCTTTGATATTTGGAGAATTTAACTATATTAGCCCCGGCCTCTTGAAGCCAATTCTTTTATTTTTGAAGTTATGATTAGCTGATGTTATTGTGGGTTAGGTAATGCGTCCGGCTAATAAGTTGGATTAGCTTTTCATTTATGTTTCCTTGTGATAACTCAGTATTGTCAAAGTAATTTATAGGGTTAATATCGCGAAAAATCGCAAACTGATACAACTGTGACAAATTTACCCTCTATTAATTTTCGTTAAATTTTATCATCATATTGTTAAGTTGGATGGTACATAGCAGTTGACGGGTGTACCAGTTTGGGGTTTTACTCTCTATTTGTCACAACTGTAGCAGTTTGTGATTTTTCGTAGTATTAATCCAATTTTAATGGAAACTAACCGAGGGTAAATTTGTCATAAATGTACGAAGTTATGATTTTTTGTGGTAAAAAAATTAGCTTGGGGAAAGTTCGTCACATGTGTACTAATTTGACATTTTTTGTGATATTAATCCTAATTTATACATGATTTTTGAAAAGAATAGTGGTTTTTTGGTCGTCCAGTGTATAACAATTGACTTTGGTTGATAATCTTTTATTTTATTTTTGGCCCAACTATGAAAATCATTACAAGGCGGACTTCCCAAAGAATCAAAGCATTGTGAATGACAGTAGAGTAGGTTTCTAGACTGCCCTTGAAGGATCTATCACCGGCCTATCTATCACAAATTACAAGACTTTTTTTTTCTATTTTGCATTAACCATGCCCATAGTCACTTTGGTTTCTATTTTGAGAAACCTTTTCGCAACACTAATTTATCATCATCACCTTGCAGGCTTCCTTTCTGAAGCTGAAGTCCCAGACAGGAGACAGCAAACTGGTACATTTTCCTGCAGGCAAACAACAAATTATTGAAGCCAATGACTACGATAATAAAAATAAAGGATTGAAGCTTTTGATTGCAAAAAACTATTATTGAAGACTTTTAGTTAGTGCATATATCTAGTTAATAACAATAACGTATTGTACTATATTCTCTTGCTTGGTTGCTCTAGACAACAACATCGATACAATGATGTACTATTGAATGCGGACATCTATCGATAAGTTCCGGTGACTAAATATGTCAATGCCAGTAATATCCATTCACATAAAATATCACCCCCTAATTAATCAAAATTTGGAAAGGCTAATGTTTTCCTTCATTCTTAATCAGTGGGCTACAAGTTATGGACACAATATGGGTGATGGCCATAACTTATAACCTATCAATTAATAAGAAGCATGGTTGGAGGAAATAAGGGAGTTCTAGAATTGGTTTTAAATAATTGATCCTTTTTGACATTCAGTCCGAACCTAAATTAGAAAGGATTATAAGAGCTTGTGTTCTACATGGTTGAAGATACTAGGTTTGTAAAGTTAAGAGATTCTACACTTGATTACGAGGGTGCCACTTCGTTCGCCAAATCTTAGCAGTAATGTGTTGTTTGGAAAGGACGGAAGGGGGAGGAAAACCAACGGTGAATACGAAAAGTTTGGTGAACTTTACACTCTATTGGGCAAGTGGGGAAGTGTTGAGAAAGAAAATTTGAGTGCAAAATTCTAAAATTTTAAATGTTTTGTGAAAAACAGAGAGATGAAAATTCAAGTTTACTAGCATTTTCCATCTCCTTTCCTTCTCCCTAGGTCTCCCAAGCATAGAGTTATTTTCCATGAGGACAAAAAAGGGGAAATCTAAAACTTTTTCCTCCTCTTTCCTCCGGCAGATTCTCCTAATTAGAGGCTAAGAAAATCCGAGTCTGCTCCCCTTAGGAACATAAGTAAATCTATAAAAGACGTAATTAACTGCATCTCTCTCTTGCTTATTTCTTTTTTGTTGGAGACTGTTTAATTTGGCTATAGGAGAAAGCTTACGCAACTTTTATTATTTTTTTAAGACATATGGCACGATGCGACTCCCACCATGCGCTACATAAGAAAAACTTGTTAAATTGGTGCAATTAAATCTTTCCGTTAATTTCGTCTAATTTAACTAACGGAAAATCATCACGTTACTTTTTTATTTACTATGAGGTTTCCCATATACACTTGGCATCGAAGTGGCATTTTTTAATTTTTTTTAAGAGAGATATGATGATGCGGCATCTTCTTCTTCCTTGGTCCATCGTATACCTCCTCCTCCTCCTAATTCATCCACCAACACCTCGCTGAAAACTTCAAGAAATGGAGCAAGGCAAGCACGAGGTAATCGTTGAAGTCATGATTTATCCATATCCCGAACAGGAAGGCTATCCCGAAAGAATTTTGGAACAAAATAGAGTCAATCAGGCAAAGAACAGTACTAGGTCGACCGTAGAAGACACAAGCTAAACGAAGCTGGAGCAGCCATGGCCGAGCTCGACGAAGCTCGAGCGGCCGTGGCCGCGAGCTCTAGTAGCCATGGCTGGGCCACCCAGTTCAACTCAACAGCGCAACCGCGGAGTTCCAACCTCAGGCCACTGCCAGGCCACCGCAGCGAGGTGGTCGATTTTCCTTCCTCTCTCTCTCTCTCATAATCGAAATCATGGTGGACTGTAATCGTTCACAGTGGTCGGCGGCAACCGCCACGAGGTAGTCGAACCTCCCAGTCAACAATGACAACTTGGTCCGAGGTCACAACGGTGGTCCAATTTGTTCAGATCTAGTGCGTCGGAGTGGGTTCGATCTGGCGCACCCAAGTTGGTTCAGATCCGGCTCCGCGGATTGAGTACGTTCAGCTTTTCCGAGGTGGTCCCCCATCATAGAGGCGACTGCTGCCGCCACCGTCACCGGTGGTCACCGTAGACCGGCGACCACCGTCACAGTGGTCGTCACGAGAAGGGCAACCGACGAAGGTCCGACAATAATCGTCACAACTCACAAGTAGCTGGTTATTTTGTTCCTTCTCTCCATCTTTTTCTTAAAATATATTTTATAAAACCTTATTTTTAGTTTTGTTTAATTTTTAAAATTTATTTATTTAATAAAAAAATTAAGAAAAGATGACATATCAGTGCCTCTTTCTTCAAAAAGTAATAAAAAAATGCCATGTCAGCACCATATGTCTTTAAAAAGTATTAAAAAAGCCAAGTAACTATTTTTCGTTAGAGATATTGGACGAAGTTAACATAAGAATTTGATTGTATCAATTTGACAAGGACTTGATTGTATTTCTTGAAAGTTTTACGACTCAAATGTACTTTCGTCACAGGTTTTAGGATTTCTTGTGCACTTATACCTAAAAGGAAATAAAAAAAATTATAAAAAAGATAAAAGTAAAAACTATAAGAATTAAAAATAATGGTTAATACCACGAAAAATCCCAAACTGGTACACCTATGACAAATTTACCCCAAACTATTTTTTTAACCACAAAAAACCAAAAACTGGTACACTTGTGACAATTTTACCCCGAACTATTTTTTTGACTACCAAAAACCCCACATCAGTACACCTATGACAATCTTACCCCAAATTAATTTTTGACCACAAAAAACCCTAAACTGGTACACCTGTGACAAATTTACCCTCAATTAGTTTCCGTTAAATTTTTCTGTCAAATTGCTAAGTTTAATGACACGTGGTAGTTGACGGGTGTACCGGTTTGGGGTTTTATCCCTCTATTTGTCACAAGTTTACCAATTTGTGATTTTTCGTAATATTAATCCAATTTAACATACACTAACGAAGGGTAAATTTGTCACAAATGTACCGGTTTGGGGTTTTTAGTAGTCAAAAAATTAGTTTGGGGTAAAATTGTCATAAGTATACCAGCTTAAAATAGGTCTAACAATTTCTTGTTCAATGTAACTTTGCAAGTTGAAGAATTGTTTTAATCCCAAAGAAGCCAAGTTAAGAAGACTTTTATGACAAAAGATGGATTCACAGTAAGTTATATAGCTCCTTATTTCATTCTCATTTGTAGTGTACAGGCATTACTGATGCAGTATATTTGTGTAGAGGCAAACAGATGCGATTGCAATGAGCAGGAGGCGGCGGCTATCTCATATAGCAGAGAATGCGACGAGTTCAGTTCCTGTCACAAGTGTAAGAACTTCACCAAGACTCAGAGAAAAGATGGGACAAACATCTAATGCAATACATGTGTTCTCAACTCTGGAGAGTGTTGCAATTAACATCAGCCAAGGGGACCAAATTTTCACCAAGGCTTCGAGAGAAGATGTCCAAATCCACCAATATTGCAAACCGGAACGAGTATGTTATTCCGAGGAAAGAAGAGTAACATTATTTGGTGGGAAAGTGAGATACCTATGTCTTTATAGTATTATGTTGCTCGAACGATGCCTATGTTCTTACTTTTTTCCTTTTCCTTTTTATGAGGAGGGCGGATGGCCAATTTTGGATGAATTTTGATGAGCCGACCACTTAATTAGTCTCACCCTCCTCAAGATTCGACCTCGGGTCTTACCGTGGAATGGCGAATGTGGTATGTCATCCCCCTACCAATTCTACGGGCATATGTTGGAAATCAGGAAGTCTTTGCATATGATGTAGCCAATGCTCGAGGGAAAAGTAGGTTAGGGATTCATTCGCGACTTAACTTGAAGTTATGACTTCATGTACAATAAGAATACTGTGACTCCTTTAGCATTGGATTACCACGCTCGATAGTGAAATCATAATCTAATTGAAGATTGTTATGGTAATAACTAATCTCTCTCTCTCTCTCTCTCTCTCTCTCTCTCTCTCTCTCTCTCTCTCTCTCTCTCTCTCTCTCTCTCTGTACAGCCCTGATGCAGCCTGGTGTAGGCTACTTGAACGTTAGGATCGGGAGAGTGACTTGCACACGTGGAACAGGACGAACAGTAATTACAGTCCTGCGCAAGCTCGGAAAAATGGATGTAACTTCGTCGATACAGATCGGAATGACCTGATTCCAAAGCCAAATGAACAAAGACTTCTGGATTGACAATTTCTCTGTTTTGAGTTTTCTCAAATAAGCACTATAGGAAGGACGAAATCGGGGTGGAAGTGGACGGATGTAAATGGACAGAACAGAGGAAAAGATAGAACTTCGTTGGTTGCTCTTCCAGGCCTCCAAGGAAGTGGATAGGGCACCGATTTTTCTAGATCGATGACTGTAACTCTTCAAGGATGCAGATTTGAAAACCTCCGACTCTTCAAGGACGGAGTGAAAACTCTTCTAGGTTTTCAAGGGAATGAACTCTTCAAGGTTCAAGATAATTGCTTGATGAAATATTTTCATTAATCAAATTCGTCTGTCGAATACATAAAGTAGATGGTCTTTTATAGCCAAAGAAAAACAAATGAAAAGACTCAAGCAAATGAAGAGACTAAAGAGCATTAAAGACCCTAGAAGGCATAAAACATTAAAGAACTTAGAAACTAGAAACTAGATAAATGCCCAACGTCTTCTTAATCATCCCAAAGTATCTTTTAGACTTCCAATGTATAGGAAAAGACAAGGACTTTATTGTGGCATGGACTCGTGGATGAGACTCTTGGTCTTCGAATTGCGTCCCTTCGATATCTCCAAGACTGGTCGAGCGACTTGTCGAGCTCGGATGCGGGCTGATCTCCTTGGTCGAGTGAGCTCGTCTTCGATGCGGGCGGCATTATCAATCTGGCCTGCATCAAGCCCCCTTTCACACGAAATAGAGAAGAAAATGAGGATTTGGGAAATCCGTAAAAAGTGTATTACTTTCTGATTGGGACCTTGTATGTATAAGGCTCTATTTATAATACAATGTATGTACACAATAAAGAAAAAAAATATACAGAAGATACTTTCTTAATGGTACATGATTTAATTCCCAACTAAATTGATTTACTCAATCACTCCAGGAAAAGGAACTGTATCTCTAACACTCCTCTCAAGCTGGCGGCTTGTATATGTCGAAAATGCTAAGCTTGCTTAATAGATACGTGTGCTGTCTTTAACATAGAGGTTTGGTGAAGATATCCGCAGGCTGTTTTGTAGTTTCTATTCCTCTTTTCTTGATTATCCATTCCTGAATTTTATCTCAAGTGAAATGGCAACCAACCTTTATGTGTTTCATTCTTTCATGGATTATCGGATTTGTTGCAAGTTTGAGAGTAGCATCAT